TTTAATTTTCTTGTATTTTGATGAACATATATAGCATAGCCAATTATTTTCAAATGATGAAAATCCATACACACGTGTCTCGATTTTTAGGGACATGTCAACACTTTAAACACGTGTCTCGATTTTTAGGGATGTGTCAACACTTCAGATGATGCCATTAGATTGAGATTATTTCTACATACTCTATGTGATAGAGCGTTTCAATCGTTAGACTCACAACTTATTACCAATATTACTATTTGGAATGACTTGACTCATAAATTCTGCACCAAATTCTTCCCATCAACAAAAATTGCAAAGTTGAAGCATGACATGGCCATATTTCGACAAGGGAAAACAAAATCCTTTAATGAAGCTTGGAACAGATTCAAGAACATATTTTGGAAGTGTTCTCATCACAGCATCAGTAAAGGGCTCTAGGTCCAATATTTTTATGCAAGCATACTTTCATCTTATAAGAGCATGGTGGACGCTTTATTCAATAGCCATTTATCTACGAAGAAAATTGATGAAGCCTTGGAATTGTTTAGGATAGTGGCTATTACCACATCCATGTGGGCTTCTGAATAGGTTGTTCATAAGAAAGTACCAAGAGTATACAAGGAGGACACTTATACAACATTATTTGTAAAAATTGACTCTTTAGTTCATAAGGTAAAGCATGTCACAATCAGCCAATGTGGTACAAGCTAAGTGGGTAAATGGTGAAAAAATATAGGGCAAACCACAGTACAACAAATTATCTAATTCTTACACAAAACACAAAACAAATTGACTATGTAAAAGGGGGTCAGTACCAACAGAATAATCCATAATCTAACACCTACAATCCTGGTTGGAGGAAATATCTAAAACTTTCTTTGAGTAATCATGGTCATGATAAGCTATATGGTTCTCATTTTCAGCAAGTAGAAAAGAGAACTTCCTTAGAAGAGATGTTTAGTAAATTCATGGAAAGAAAAGATCAGTACATAGAGGCGAATAATCAATTTATAAGTAAGACCATAAATAACTCTTCAAAATATAAGTGCAGCAATTAAAAATTTTAAGACTCGGATGAGACAGATGGTATATGCTATATTAGGCAGAGCACCAGGTATATTACCAAGCAATATAGAAGTTAATCCCAAGGAACGTGTCAAAACAATTACTAGTAGGAATGGGGTTCAATTACCTAAGATTCATGTTAAGAGACCAGCCACAAGTGAAGAAAAAGTACCTTCTGTTGATGAGAAACATGTGAAACAGGCTGAACAAACAACATAAACATCTGGCAAAGAGAGTTCAATTACACCACGGGTTAAGGAAATTGTTCCTATACAAACCTCCGATTCCATTTTCTCAAAGACTTGAAAAGCACAAGTTAGACAAATAGTATACAAAATTCATTGAGGTCTTTAAAAAGCTTCACATCAACTTCTCTTTTACTGGTGCACTTATTCAGATGCCCAGTTATGCTAAATTCTTAAAGGATATTTTATCTAACAAATGCAAGTTGGACGATTATGGGACAGTGATGTTGACTATGGAGTGTAGCACTAGAATACAAAATAAGCCACCTCCAAAATTAAAAGATCAACAGAGATTTATAGTACATTGCACTATATGCAAATGTTATTTTAATAAAACTTTATGTGATTTAAGTGCAAGAATAACTTGATGTGACTCTTTATTTTCAGAAAACTAGGTTTGGTGAAGGCTAAAGAAAATAAAGTAACTATATAGCTGGCTGATCATTCTATCACGCACCCAAGAGATCATTGAGGATGTCTTGGTGAAAGTAGAAAAAATTATCTTTTTAGCTGACTTTCTTATTCTTGACATGGAGGAAGATATGGACGTTTCATTTGTTTTTTAGGTCGACTTTTTTTGGCCGTCGTATAGCTCTTATTGATGTACAAAAAGATCAACTGATTCCGATGCTGGGTGAGGAGCAGGTTGCATTTAATGTATTCAAGGCATGAAATCCCTATTGAGTCAAATAGTTTTTTCAGATCGTTGTGATTAACATGACTGTTCACGATACCTTCCAGTTGCATATTCCATCTATCATATGAGGTGTATATTATGCATTCTCAATCCACTCACTCTAACACTAATGAGATTGAGATATGTGCAAGATATCTTGAAACTAATCCTCCATTTAGACACTGACCACACTTTGAGGAGTTGGGTACATGTCCTACAAAAACTTTGCCATCAATTCAACAAGCCCCTAAGTTAGAACTCAAATAATTACCACCACATCTTCGTTATGTTTACTTGGGCGAATCTTCTACATTGCCAGTCATTATTGCAAACTCTATTAGTAACCTTGAGGAAGAGATATAGCTATGGATACTAAGAGAAAATAAGACAGCTATTGGGTGGTCTATTGCCTGAAATGGGAAATTATCATAGAGTGAGATTTATAAAATCTTAATAAATGGCTTGACATTCCAGAACAGAAACTTCACTTATATTGTTTTAATGCCCGAAGTCTGCTTTTTCGAAATATGTTCGAAAGAAAAAATCTCTATTTGAGAGGGCTTCTTCCTATACCTATGCACCTCGTATACACGCACGCCAATATTTTTCAAGGAGGTCCAGGCGATCGAAAAATAAAGAAATGGTTAATAGATTCAAGATAATTACGTATTTTGCTGGAACTCCGAATCATTCTCTTGAAACTTATCCTCTTCATCATAAATGATCTGCTTGCCCCGACTGCCATTTGTCCATATTTCGAGAAAGAATATCTCTTGTTTTTCATTCTCATTCCCAACTATCTTATTATAAGCGTCGAATCCCCACTTCTTCTTGCTAGAAAATGGGAAAAGACTACTTCTTGGACTGTGATTCTTTGATGATCCAATCCTATCTTGATCATGCCAATTATCCTATTCGACCACACCAGTTTATTATGTATGGATGATGAGATTCAATTGATATAGAGCCAATTCCGAGGTCTATGTCAATTAAAAGGATAAAGGGGATTACAAAGTTTTCTCCAAGTCACAATCTTTTAGAAAACCCTCAGGCCAGATGCTTAGAATCAAACAAGCATCTAAGAAAACTCTATGTAAAAATGGTGTTTTAATTCGATGGTGATCCAATTCAAAAATGACTAGAAGTACTACTGATAATAATGGTCCACATAAAAAGGCTGCATGGCCCAATATCATCATACTGACTCATTTTGAAAATAAATTAATGAATTCAATTACCTATTGAGTTAATCAATATGAAGTCATGAATTATTATCGTGTATAACTTAAATGAGCATAATAATCATAATCAACATAATGGAGATACAAATATTTTACTGAGCGTAGACGGTAAAATTCTTATGTGTAGTGCTACTAAACTCCGACCCCCTTAACATAATCATAATCATATCATACCATATGGGACCCATAATAATTTTTTTAAAATTCATAACAATAATTCAAAGTAGACAGCATACTTACAGTGAAATTTGAAAGAAAGAGTAATGGAGACTTGATCCCTCTACAATTTTCACCTCGGCTTATGAACGTGTACATTATTTAGACCGAAAAATAATAGTGAGTGGTAGCATGTGAGTGTGAATGAGGGATTTAAATAGGACAACACTAGACATGCATCATTAAGGAAAAACTCATGGTTGTGGCAATTGTTCATTGAAATTTGTGAAATGAGCATGAATCTCTCAATCATTCCGACATTCATGCATCACACTACACATTACCATATGTTTAGTCGATCAAGCATATATCAAGAATTTTCTACGTAAGTTTTGACTAAGAATTCAACCTTTTTTTTCAAATAAAAATGTGTGCGAATTTGTATTTATAATAAGTTTGCTACAATATCCTAGAACGTGGATTAACCCTCAAATGAGCCCCTAAATTTTCAATTCTAATAATTAGACCCGAAAATCTAAGTTCAGGTATTATAATCTATCCTCCTAAAATATCTCTACCTATCGCTCCCACATGACCTCTTCAGCTGAATGATTTCGCCACTGTACTTTTACTAGCGAGATCACTTTGTTTTGGAGGGCTTGAAATTTTTTATTAACAATTTTTACTGGTACTTCTTCATAGCTTAAACCTTGTTGTAATTTAATATACTAATTGTTGACCACATGACTTGGATCAGGGACGTACTTTCTAAGTATTGGCACATGGAAAACGTCATGTACAGCTAAAAGTTCGGAAGATAATGCTAACTAATATGTGATGTTCCCAATACATTGCAAGATCTCAAATGGGCTAATAAATCTTGGTCGTAACTTACCCTTCTTGCCAAAATGTAGCACTCCTTTTATCGATGCCACTTTAAGGAATACCTTATCACCAACTGAAAATTCTAGACCATTTCTCTTTTTATTTGCATAACTCTTTTGTCTATACTGAGTACTTTTCATGTTGGCACGAATTTTTTCAATTGCATGCATTGTCTGCTCAATAATCTCTAGTCCCAAAATCTTTTGCTCACTGACTTCATCCCAATAAAATGGTGATTTATACTTTTTTCCATACAATGCCTCATATGATACCATGTCAATTGAAATGTGGTAACTATTGTTGTATGATAATTCAACTAAAGGTAAATGCTTCTCCTATTGTCCTCCAAATTCAAGTATACATGTCCAAAGCATGTCCTTCAATGTTTGAATTGTCCGCTCAGACTGCTCATCCATCTAAGGATGGAACGTCACACTAAACTTTAGTTTAGTTCCCATAACTCGGTGTAGACTTTTCCAAAAGTCTGATGTGAACCTTGGATATCTATCCGATACAATAGAAAAAATCATGTAACCTTACTATCTCATTTACATATAACTAAACGAACTGGTCCATAGTAAACGTCATCCAAACTGGCAAGAAATAAGCTGATTTGGTGAGTCGATCCAGTATAACCCAAATAGCATCGTGACCTCTTACTAACCTTGAAAAACCAATCATGAAGTCCATAGTTACATGCTCCCACTTCCACTCTACGACTTCTAATGGTTCAAGTAACCCTGACCGTCACTAGTGTCCAGCCTTCACTTGCTGATACACCAGATATTCTGGACATACACGACTATATCCAATCACGAAGTCTATAGTTACATGCTCCAACTTCCACTCTACGACTTCCAATAGTTCAAGTAACCCTGACGGTCGATGGTGTTCAGCGTTCACTTGCTGATGCACCAAACATTCTGGACATACACATCTATATCCCTCTTCATGCCTTCCCACCAAAATACTGCCTTCAAATCCTCACACATCTTTGAGCTTTCCAGGTGTACTGAATAAGGAGAGGAATGAGCCTCCTCTCTAATCTATCTTTTCAATTCTTCGAAATCCAGTACACATATCCACTCTTGATAATATAATGCTTCATCTTTAACTATGGTGAAATCATTCCACTTTTCTGAGTTAATATCAGATTTGATGTACTCAAAGGACTGATCATCCATTTGATGTCCTTTAATAACGTTATGGAGTATGAGATGAATAGAGAGAGCTGCTACTCGAGTGACCACACCTGGTTGTGTGACAACCTCGAGATTCAATCTCTTAAATTCTCTCCATAATGGTCTTGCATAGTCAACATAGCTAATTGACCTACCATTTTTCAACTCAAGGCATCAGCTACCACATTCGCCTTGCTTGGGTGATAATGAATTTCATAATCGTAAACCTTAACTAACTCAAGCCACCTTCTCTGTCTCATATTCAACCTCCTGCTGGGTGAAGATATACTTGAGGCTTTTGTGGTCCGTATAAATGTCAAATTTACCTCCGTAAACATAATGCCTCCAAATTTTTAATACATGGATCGCCGCTGCAAGTTCTAGGTTGTGCTTGGGGTAGCTTTGTTCATATAGTTTTAATTGTCTCGATGAATAGGCAAACACTTTATCGTGCTCCATTAAGACACATCCCAAACTTTGTTTCGAAGCATCACTATAGATCACAAAACCATCTGACCCATTGGGGTGTTTACCAGCTTTTGATTTATTTCCTTAAATCTCTGTTCACACTTCATAGTCCAATCAAACTTCACACCCTTGCGTGTTAATTGTGTCAACGGTCCTGATATTTTGGAGAATCCATCAATGAACCTCCGATAGTATCATGCTAAGCCCGAAAAATTGCGAATTTCTCGTACATTGGTTGGCCTTGACGAACTCAACACTGCCTCCACTTTACTAGGGTTCATCTCTATCCCTCAGGTCGTAAAAATATGTCTAAGGATGCTACCTGTTCCAACAAAAACTCACACGTTTTGAACTTGGCATACAGCTTCTCATTCTTTAAAACCTCCAATACAATCTTTAAATGCTCATCCTATTCCTCATTGCTTCTTGAGTAGACCAGGATATCATCAATAAACATGATAACAAATTGTTTCAGATACTTGTGGAAAATGTGGTTCATCAAATCCATAAAAACTCCAAGAGCATTAGTTAGTCCAAATGACATAACTAAGAACTTGTAGTGTCCATGTCGAGTTCTGAAAGTGGTCTTAAAGATATCACTAGCTTTGATTCTCAATTGATGATAACCAGACCTTAAATCTATTTTGGAAAATGCCACTATACCTTTGAGCTAATCAAACAAATCCTCAATCTTTTGAAGAAGATACTTATTCTTGATAGTGATTCTATTCAATTATCTGTAATCGATGCATTTCCTCATCAATTCATCCTTATTTTTAACAAATAGCACCGGTGCTCCCTATGGTGATACATTAGGTCGGATGAAACCTCTGTCCAATAGTTCCTCCAACCGTGCCTTCAATTCATGTAATTCTTTAGGTGCCATTCTATAGGGGCTTTGGAGATGGGTACTGTGCCGAGAGTAAGGTCAATTATGAATTCTACCTCTTGTTCCGACAGCATACCAAGCAACTCCTCGGGGAAGACTTTTGGATATTCACACACCATCCTAACCTCGTTAACTGTTAATCCATTGTTCTCTTCTTTACTTATTACAGACATCAAGAGTCCCGTAGTGTTTTATAATGGTATGACCTATCAGGTATTCCATGCAGATAAGATGCGGGTTAAGGTTCCACCTCTAGCCACAGATAATCGAAATCTCTCTTCCACTGCTCTTTGAAAAATCACATCCTTTTCAAAATAACGAATTATCGCTTGATTACTAGATAGTCAGTCCACTTCAAGAATCACGTCAAACTCGTCCATATCTAATGCATACAATTCCATCTATAATGATTTACCATCAATTTCTATTCTTGTCGTTCTAACTATGTGATCAATATTAACTATATACCCAATAGGCATCATCACTACTAAAGGAAATTGTGCATATTCAACCATAACATCCAATTTACATAGAGTATATCAATACATAGGCTAGTAAGTCGGATATGAGGACTTTACCTGTCTAGATATTTGGATTTTGATCCTTATTCTGCCCTGCCAGTGTATAAATCCTAGTGTGTCCTCCTGGTGCATAGCCTTGTCTATGTTGTTTGTTCCCATGTGGCCTCTGCCGGTTGCTTCCGTGCTTAGGACAATACTGAGTCATGTGTCCTTGTCCTTCACATTGGAACACTTGAATTCATCACCAAAAGGAAAGCTTTCCGATGATGATTCTGACATTTTCTACAACGTGGGTAACTCTTGTTGCCATGCTAAATTTCCTCTGCCCTTTTTGGCGTAATCTTGTTTCTCTTTGCTCTTGTTATCCACCCACTTTCACTTCTCTGACTGTCCATTATGCTATTTTCCTCCCTACTAGTGCGGTCCACGAAATATGTCAATTATACCCTTACTAATACATCATGATAATTTTCAAGCTGAAGCACTATGACAATCCATTTCAAATCATCCCTCAAACCCTACTCAAAACGTCTTACCTTCTTGTCCTTTGTGTCCACAAACTCTGGAGCATAATGAGCCAACTCTTCAAACTTCTACTTTTAATCGATTAATGTCATTGAGCTCTGAGTGAATGTGAGGAACTCAGCCTCCTTCAGATTTTGGATACTCGTGAGGTAGTACTTTTTCAGAAAGGCCTTGAATTCTTCCCACATCCAAACATGACCAGGAGCCTTTGATCTGGTAGTGGTGTCCCACCAACGCCCAGCACCTTTACGTAGCATAAAGGTTGCACTTATTACCCTTCTAGGGTTTGGGCAGTTAATGAGTTCAAAAATCCTCTCCATACCTACCAACCAGTCCCCTTCTTCCAAGGGGTCCGTACTACCATGAAAGATAGGGGAATGCTATTTCCTGAACTACTCAACCACAGCAGCAGTGGTCACAGTTTCGAGGGCAGCTTCATGTTGTTGTTCTGGTTGAGGTAGAGAATAAGATGGTAGTGTTGGCTGTTGAGGAGGTGGTGGCGACATCACAGCTTGTGCAAACGTTTGCATCATAGTGAGAAACTGCTTGGCAAACTGTGGGTCAATCATACTAGGATGAGGCTGAACAAGTTGTGTGGACTCTTGGTTTTGTTTATTGATATTTTTAGTCCATCTGCTTTGGGGTGGCATAGCCTTAATTAAATGATAGTAACTATTTAGGATTAAGTCAAATTGAAGAAATGAAACATAAATGAATAGCATGTTTTATTCATAAACATTCATAAGTCCACATAACTAACAAACCACTGAGAATACTCAGTGTCCAAACAAGCTGAAATTTGTAAATTTAAACGTAAAGTAAACTAGCCATCATCTAATAGTTTTTCCCAGTACCCTCCATTTGATTTGCCTTCCTTTCTTTTTCCTCAGGATTTGGTTTCGAACTAATTGTGAAATACGACGTGGGGTTGTATTCTTTACTCGTGTCTTCTTCAACATAATTTTTCTCGTAGTCAACTTCGGGTATTGTTATGACGTTGCTCGAATTGGGTTCATAGCTTGGCATCTTACTGTTATCCTTAACATCTTCTTGATTCACCCTCTACCTTTCCCTCATGCATCGGAGTAGTAGATCGAGAGGGGTCTAGTAGTCGAAGGTCTCTTCGATTCCCTTGATAAACTGCCTCCAGTAAGAAGTAAGGGTTCGGTCAAGGTGATACACGATCTCATCCCTATTAAAGTGATATCCATTCGCCCTTACTTGTTGGTAAATCTTTTCCATGTCATCTAAGTGTTGTATCAAACTGTGGTTTAGGTTTCTCTTGTAATTCCTATGCAACCAAGTAAAATGATTGGGTCTCTCAGTTCGACTAGTTTGAAAATTGTCCACTCACTATCTATAGAAAGAAAGGAACGTAATTACTTTTCTTTTCAAAAGAACTTTTCAAATTTTTTACTATTACTATTATTATTAATATTATCATCGTCATTTTTTTTAACACGAAGGTAGTGATAAAAGAATCAATTATTGTACGAGAAGTTGAAACTTTTAAGAGAACGTACTAATAACCACCTACAGTTTTCCCTTGTTTTTACAAAGGTAGTGATAAATGGATGAATTATTGTACCAAAAGTTGAAACTTTTAAGAGAACGTATGAATAACCATCCATAGTTTTTCCCTTATTTTTACAAAAGTAGTGATAAAGGGATAATTTATCGTACGTGAATTCATTATTAATCTTATTCATGTAATGTGTGATTATATATTATTGCAAACTTAATCTCTAGTTGAGTCATTCCCAGTAAATTTAACATGTATTAAAATCACATGGCTACCATCTATATATCTCATGGTTTCTACATTAGTGTAAAATCTAAGATTGATATCTTCTATCAATGACATAACAGTAAACACCTATAACATACAAAATTTCACATTATTATTGACTTTGATGCATAATAAACCAAAATGAAATCGCAACTATGTTCATATTTTGTCATGATATTCACGGTTGCTATTTTACGTAATTAGCATGCTTTCATAAGTGAGATGACATGAATACTTAAAGTGCGTACATACCTGGTTCAAGGAAGTCGAGACATGGAGGATGACATAGTGGCTAGTGACTTAAAACAACTTAAATTCTCATTTTAAATATCAACTGATTTTCAAAAAAAAATATCATCTTAATTATCGGATCCAAACCGATTCTTTAGATAGTATTAGGCTCTTTAAATAATAAAGTCCAATTAAATAAGCCTATTCTAAAATACACTCTTAAAAAAAACCAATATCATATTAAATTAAAGCTCAAATACACATATTCTATAAAAAATGGGACAACCAATTAATGGAAAAGAAAAATTTGTAAATTTTTTTTAACTGTGTCACTATTCACATGAATAGTGACTGCATGTTACTATTCATATGAACATTAATTTTTTTTAAACAGAAAATTCGTAAAGCTCAATATTTTGAAAATATATGTTAAGTTTACAGGATCGATTTAAAAACTCTTAGCTCTGATACCAATTGTGACGGTCCGAATCTTTGACCATTCGAGCGTCACACAATAAAACTCAATGCTTTCATAAGAACTAAAATAAGAACACGAAATAATTTTTATTTTGCTTCGATAAGTAAATAAATTTTGATTTTATCATGTAGCTGAAAAAAATAAACAAAGAATCCTAATATTCAAAATATTATTTTGCACCATGTTCACCCACATAATTCACAACTAGTTATAATAATTTTACATAGAAAGCAATATTTATTCCACTTTTACTGAAGAAGACTCAGAATGTATCATACAAGGTCTAAATTTCTGAAAAAAAATGTAAACGATCTCCAAAATTTCTTAAACTGAACCAAATATATTCTTTCTATGTAATTTCGACCTCATAAATGTTAATTTGCTTGAAAATAATCGTAATATTTCCTCTAAATATCACTTTAATCACTAAGTTTGCAATTACAATTGATCCTCATTCTTATCAAAATTGCATCAATGCCTCTAAACTTCAAACTTCATCATATGACCATCATCAAAATGATACCTCAAATTTGAAAGTGATAAGCCTCCGTTTGGCCC